AATCCCCGTGAGTATCAAGAGCAGCCGATGCATCCTCAAAAAGTGACTGTGTGGTGTGCATTGTAGTCAAAAGGCATCATCGGACCTTACTTTTTCGAAAATGCGGCCGCGGACGCCGTTACCGTCAATTCTGAGCGCTATCACGTGATGATAGAGGACTATTTTTTGCCGCAACTTGAAGGAATGGATATGGACTATGTTTATTCCCAACAAGACGGTACAACATGCCACACAACCAACGTCAATATCCATCGATTGCAGTCCTTCTTCGGTGATCGCGTGATTTCGCGCAGAGGAAATGTGCCATGGCCACCAAGATCGTGCGATTTGACTCCCTTGGACTTCTTTTTAAGGGAATATTTGAAAAGCAAAGTCTACGTCAACAAACCAGCCACCCTCCAAGAACTCAAAAACAACATCATTGCCGAGATAAATGCCATAGAACCGACCATGTTGCAAAATGTCATTGAAAATTTCGACCATCGCGTGGACGTCTGTAAATCCAGTCGTGGTGATCATTTGAGCGATATTATTTTTAATACATAAATAGTATAAATGAACCTTCAAAATAAAGTACCCAACTTGATTTGAATATCAATCTTTCTTGTTTTAATATGCGTTTACTTTCCTGCGTCCGTTTTGGACAACCCCATATATTTGTTTAAAGCAGTGACGTGTTTAGGTGGAGAAGAAAAATACCATATCAATCCAAATTTGGTTGTTTAGCTTTTGGTGCCTTCTATAGTTTTTTGACGAGGCAAAAAGTGACTGGGATTAATTACGTAGGCGGAGGCGTTATGCTATCACAATGCACGCTTGAAGGAAACAGTTTGCAACCTTTCTTGTCAAAGTAAAACAATGTTCAAGCACTCATAGCTTTTGGTGCCTCCTATAGTTTTTTGACGCAGCAGAGAAATGACTGGGGTTGCTTACATAGGCGGAGGCGTTATGCTGTCAGAATTTACGCGTGAAGAAAAAATTTTGCAACCCTTCTTGACAAAGTAAAATAATGTTCAAGTACTCACAGCGTTTGGTGCCTTCTATAGTTTTTTGACGCAGCAGAAAAGCGACTGGGGTTGCTTACATAAGCGGAGGCGTTATGCTATCACAATGCACGCGTGAAGAAAAAAGTTTGCTACCCTTCTTGCCAAAGTAAAATAATGTTCAAGAACTCATAGCTTTTTGTGCCTTCTATAGTTTTTTGACGCAGCAGAAAAGTGACTGGTGTTGCTTACATAGGCGAAGGCGTTAGGCTATCACAATGCACGCGTGAAGAAAAAAGTTTGCTGCACTTCTTGACAAAGTAAAATAATGTTCAAGAACTCGTAATTTAATTTCTCTTCCTGCTGATGGTCGTACCACAATCAGATCCAGGGAGCATGCACTGAAACGTCCTCGGACGATAACGAAGAAACTCGATGAATACTATGTCCACAGTTGGCCAATCTAGGAGAGTCAATATACCTACATAATTTCATTGGCAACAATGACATTCATGTGAAGTAAAAGTGCCGCTGCGATCAGTACTATGCAGTCCTGGATACTATAATCGGAGGACTTAAAGAAGGTTCGCTGACGAAGCATTGGAGGTGGCAACTACAAGTTAAGAGTTTGTTCACTTTAACATAGAAAAATATTCACGAGGGTTAAACAAAGTCACGCATGTATTCCTATACATGTTCTCGAAGCAAATCCTAATAAGCCCGAAAAAAAATATAAATCTCGGAAAGAGTTGATGTAGTTACTGCAGGACCTAGTTTCCTTTGAAGGTGATATTAATTTATCCGTATTTTAAAAAAAAATCCATAAAGTATCAAATTGATAATTGAATAAAACCTTCAATGAGTCAACAGTGGCTTTCAAACTTAGTTCGTTCGTTTCCTGAGACCAACATAATGAGAAATATACAGTTAGAAGTACTAACTGACACCTTTGCCGAAATTGGGGTGAATAAAGTAGTTTTCATTTAATGTCCAATGTTATAGATTTAAGGGCTCCTAGAAACAAAACAAATTTGAAAACTTGCAATAAGTGAACCCCAGCAAACTCCGCCCATGGTTGCTTAACACACATTTCAAGTGTTCAGAATCTTACATTTGTCTAGTGTCTTAAATTGCGTGTAGCCTTTTTTTCAGTTTTTTTCATTCGATTCTCGTTATTTGATTGGTTACTGTTTTTAAAAAAAATATTCTCATTTTTAGGAGCTGTTTATCGAGGTACAAGCATTTTGCATAGAATTCAGCAGAATCCGTGAGGCTGCAGCATTGTTTCGTCTTTTGAAGCAACTCGAATCTGGGGAATTGGGTCTGGTTTCATCGCCACCATTACCTAAAACGTAAACTAGATGGATAATAGGAATGACATATTTTTTCATAAATGCTGACAAAGATTACAATTATTGTACTAGTGTTTACCGATTTATTTTAATAAATGTGATATTTGTAGTCATTGTTGTTTTATTGCAATACCTTGGACAAAAAAAGTTTTGCGGTTACGCATTGTAACATTTTTCACCTCCCATGTCAGCAAACGAATATGCGACTTCGAGATATTGTCACGTGCCACAATCACGTAACCTTTTTTTTCTATTATCGCTTACCAGCGATTTGAATTTCTCTTCATTGATAATAGAGTACCCATTCCTAGGCCAAACCCTTTTCAATGATTTTCTATTGACTAAAAGAAACGAACGTCATCAGGACACGCATTAAGGCACGTGGTTCGAAGGTATATAAAAAAACTTACCGCTGAGGGTCAAAATCCCATAAAAAAATGGAAGACGTAGCACCCAAACCAAAATGACTAAACTTAAGTTACACAAAAAAGGGTGCTAGTCCATTAATTAGGGCCTTATATCCCAGAGTCCGGAAAATGACGAAACAACCCCTGCGCCACAACCTCGACGGAAACAGAAAAGCGAATCACGCCGAACACGTAACGTTCTAGAAGAAGGTATCTTGAGTGGCCTTGAAGAAGATATGTTTTATAGGAAACCAACTAACGGAGAAAAACTACAGAGTTTATGCTGATCGTCAACACCATGCTAAATCGCTGAGAAAGAAGGATATAATACGAAATAAACTATTAAGTTTGCAAAAAGAAAATCATTGAAAAGGGTTTGGCCTAGGAATGGGCACTTTATTATCAATGCAGAGAAATTCAAATTACTGATAAGTGATAAATAGAAAAAAAGGTTACGTGATTTTAGCACGTGACAATTTTTAGCAAAAAGCGAGAGAAGAATTATGGTCACAAAAATTCTCGAATTTCATTCAAGTTCTTTTGATGTGTTAGGGCATTGACCAACATATTGAGCCAGGTGAAATACGTGTATCAATTGTTATTGGCATTTTTCTGTCCGCGTACTAGAATAAACGACTGGGTCGATTTTGCAGGATTTATAGTGCAGAGTTGGAGTTATCGTATGTAAATTATTTGTGTATTGAAAATTTCTGATTTGTACATATGAAAAATGTCTGAACATATATGACTGTAAGGGAATTACCAAATCCATTTACTTCACTCACTTTCAACAAAAACTGTTCATACATTTCCATTCTGTTTTTTCACTTATTTGTAACATGCAAATAATCAGCTGATAGTTACGTATTTAAAGCAAGTTACTTCTGTGGCAAGAATTTTTACAAAAAATTGGTCCAGTGATGAATGAAAAAATAATAAAAAATACAGATTTCCCAAAATTTCGTTTTCTTTAAATATTTCTAGGGCAGTTGGAAACTGTTTGATAGAGCTAGTTGATGAAAATACTAGTACTCGTATTGTGATTTATCTGGAGTGTAACGAATAAATAATAGTTTAAAAAAACACGCTTTTATAGCTAAGCGAATTAAAAAATGGATAAATAATTTTTGATTACAAAGAGTTTATATTACAATCAATCATAGTTGATGACCTCAAAATAGAATTATAATAAAATTTAAGTTATTAACAGAATAATTCAATTCTGTGGAAAAAACGTGGGGTGCATTTTAATACATTTTCGTCACTCTCCTCTCATAGATAGTTGCCAAATATAAAAATTATTTTCTACTTCTTAGTCCGGTTAGCTATAAAAGCTTTTTTTTAGTTTTTTCAAACTACTATTTATTTTTCATTTTTTAGTTCGATTTGTAAATTAGTTTTATCCATATATCAATTCGATAAAGTTTCTGCCTTGTTTTTCTGAATTAAAATTTGTTATTTATAAGTATTTATGATTAGATATTATTTTCATGATAATTAATTCCTTCTTTATCGACTGTAAAACCAAGGAAACGTACTTGAAACAGAAGTAATGACACATATACTCCCGGCACGGAGAGAGGTAACTGCGGAATATGCTGACACAATCACGCATTTTTCCTCACGTCTAGTTAATTAAAGTTACGGTCTTGTTTTTATAATTCATATTCGTTATTTGTATTTCAATCAATAAGACTTAATAATTACAAATTCTTTGATCATATTAAATTCCTTCTTTATCAGCTGTAAATTCAAAGCTTTGCTGTTATCAAAATTTGTTCCATAAGATAAATAGATTAAATTTATGTCCTGATCATTTTGTTGTGAATAAGAAGGCTTTTGTGAATCACAGTTATATATTATATGAATATTATCGCATGTATTGGACTCATTAGTACCTACGCATGGATAAGGAATGAATAAGGTGAGAATGCACTACCTTGAAAAAGTATCTACCTCCATTTTGTGCTGTGCCAAGAGCCTGAACCAACAATCGAAAGTCCGAAACTGTACGCATGCGCAGATCGCGCATTACCTCTATCTTTCTACACCCCTACAGAGGATCTATAAAAGAATTTATCAATCTTTGCGTTCCTAATAAGGATAATAGAAAACTGTTATCAATTATTGCATTGTCATTATTGCGATATGTGTGCAAAGTTATTAATCAAACTTCTGGAAATTGGTGAAAATTATGCTAAAAGATTCCATTACATACAGGCAAAGCTAATAAAAGCATGTTAAAAAACAAAAATTAAGGAAATTAAACAGAATTTATTTATGGTATAAAAAAGGCTAATTGCAATTTGATTATAAAGATTTATTTGTACTGAATATTACAAGTGGGTATACTGCTTTTCAAAGCCTGCACTGTCTTGTCATGATTCTTCACGCTTGATAAATCATCCAATATCAATTGCTTCAAATTACTCAAACTATTCAATGCAAGTAGTCCTTTATCTGAAACACTGCTACAAGATGTCACTTGTAGAAACAAAAGTGATTTTTTGAGATAGTGGAGTTTCTCCAATGCTTGATCATCAACTAAGTGGCATTTATGTAAATCAATTTTGTGACATAGTGGCACCCATTGAAGTGGTCGAAACCATTGTACATGATGCTAGAGTTTGTGGCATCGACTTCTTGGATATGATTGTTTGTCCCTTCAGGAGGAAGAAGATTGTAATTTTTAATATATTCATTAGTGTTAGTCCATTTGATTGTGCCTCCATTTCTCAAAATCCACTCAGCACATGCACGATCAGCACCAAATTGTTTGATACGTTGTTCGTCAACAGCATTGAATTGTAAGTTGATCCAATGAAACAACGTTCTTTTGCATCCCAACAACAGTGCAGGGGGCTTCAAAATTGTAGTTACGATACTGGTCATGATGCTAGAACTAGATTCACGTCAACGTTTCACCCTTTGTGACCTGGAATTATGTAATATTTGTTTTAATGTGCCAATCATATCAAAATACAAGAATGAACTTACGCAAGCTTCGAGATAATCAATTTTTCTCTCCAACGTTGTTAATTTCTCATTCAGTCCGGCAAGTTTTGAACGACATGACAGATCTGGAACAATTGGGATGGTTTTGCAACTGTCAAGAAAATGAATTTACAAACTTACCGAATGAATTTAGGAAATCTGTTATTTTCTTTATGCTGATTGTGATTATCTCAATGTACTCTCTGTTGACCCAATCTTGTTGAATTTGTTTTTGAACAGATTCACTTCTGTTCGGTGTGGCCATTTTCAAAACAACAAAGCCATTGGCATGTGTCAAAAACATATGACGCTTATAATAAGACAATTGTCCGTTCCATGTCAATGCAGCTTTTGTCAACACAAAAGATATTTCAAGGTAAGACGAGCAACCACTCAAGGAGAATAGAAGGTGGAGTACAATATCAATCTCGAAGCCAGGGTCAGCTTTTGATACGTGCTCTGTATTAAGGTAGTGATTGGTCATACATAAGGCACAAAATTCACAGTATGGTTCAAATACTATATAAGCTCTTTGTTTGAGTCGTAATTAGGACTATTTTTTTTTTAAAAACCTTTACTAATCGGAAAATGTCTGCAAGATCCTGGCCGTTCTGACTGCAATTTAATTACGAATACTGTCTTTCAAATAAGTGAGTTTTCTCATCTTACACTCATAAACTTGTTCCTACAAATTTGCTCAAGCTTAAAAATCCAGGCGCGGCTTAAAATTCAGTAAATACGCAGGCTTGAATTGACACATTGAGTACCCTCTTGAAGTTTGTTCTATTATGACGCAGAACTATTCGATTTCCAGCGCAAGTAATAAAAACTGTCACGTAAACGTTCGATACTTCCACCCTACTAAAATTCAGTACTGTCCTTTGATGTCGAAAATTTGGAATTAGATAGCTTATTTTTGAGTATTTCCAAGTTTTATACATACGTGTCGCACTTAGAGCTGCAGCGATCGATCACTCGGAAAGTTGACCTTAGATTATGAAAACCTGAGGTTATGGTACAACTTATATGAGGTATTCTGCTAAAATGTTCAAAATGGTTAAACCGGAAGTGGATGCCAAGTTGCTTATTTTGAATGGAACACTCTGTATATTTTTCAAGTATTGAAATAGTCGTAAGATTCTAAATACACTCCATGTAAAATATCCGATAACTAACTCTAATAATCGTTTTTGAGAAATATCAAATTTTGTGTAAAAATTACAAATTAATGACCATAAATATCAATTTTTCGTATATCTGTGTGCTTGTCGAACGATTTGTGACTGTTTTCTCATAGAAGGGGTCTACTTCAGTAGACTTCATTCTATATTTGATAATAAATAATCAAAACACGACGACAATCAAATTGTAAAAGATGACAAAAGTGAATTTTTTGCAAATGAAACCCCCTGTTTTTATGATATCATCATCTCAACCAATAACAATAAGCATAGCTTTGTATAAGGTTATCTTGTTGCCAAATTAGTGGTTTAAGAAATATTTGCAAATACACGTTTTCTATCTATCCATTACAGCTTTTTATCTCCAGTTCAGCATGACTGCCGAAATTTGATATTTTCAGTCTAAAGTTAACTTTTAGAATAATCGATCACTGTAGTTCTACGTGGGATACCATGTAATTTGAAGTAGCAATGATATGCACGCTATAAGGTAAAACAACACCCCAGACTTAAACAAACAAACCCGTATTTTCAGAATATTTCGAATCATATTTTACACTACCCTATACTTGGAAGAAATTTTAAGTAATTTTTTATTATTAAGTGCCATTGAATTTGAAAATTGCCTTAGTAGTAGTTTTTATTTTTAGCTTGTGTTCAAAATAACAGGAACAAAAAAGCTTCGTGGGCTTGTATTTGAACATACCAGTGATGGCGTAATGAAAAGAACAAGTTTGTTATTTTTTATATATTCAAAATGTACACAAATAATATTATACGGTAATGCATCTTACTACCCATATTATCAATCTAATACTTGTCATCAAATGGGAAGTGAGGGTGACCTCTGGCACTGCAAACATATAACAATACAACTATACAGCGTGTCCCAAAAGTTACGGAGCAAACAAAAGGAGGGCTTATTTTCAATAAGGAAAACCACATAATATGTCCTTTGCCGATTACTCACGATTTTTGAGTTATCGCCACTTTTAGGCCCGTATCGTCAGTCGTCCCTACAATTGTAGGGCGTTTATGGCATCCTTGATTGTCATAGTTTTATACTTCTCCGTGTCAACGCTCTATTTTGAGGTAATGCCACACATCTATTTGTATCAAGTTGTGCTTGATATTGAGTTATATCATGTTTTATCAGCCTGAAATTCCCTACAATTTAAAAGGAAAACATATCTTCACAATAGGAGAGCGCTGACGCTGACACGGGACGAGTGTAATCTAGAAATTTTTGAAGGAGAGAAAAGAGTATGACAATCTAGTAGGCCATAAACGCGCCCTACAACTGTAGGGACGACTGACGATAAGAAAATCGCTGCATTTGAGACTACTATTTTTGTATAAGTTATCTTTTGTTATTTTTCATTCAGATTTACAGTTGTTCCCAAGTGATGTGTCTCTGGAAAAAAGCTACTAGTGCAAATTTAATCCAGTTAATGTAGCTACAGCAATCGGCTAATCTGCAATAATTATATTTGTTGTCAAGACGATTACTTCATATTCAACGAGGCTTGTACAAAAAATTAGTAGACGGACAAAGTGTCCATAGTGATGAAAAAATTCTCGATACGATGGCCTTTCAAAATACTCATTAAATAATCAAATATCCTATATAGTTATAAGCGTATAAGTATGTCAGTATTCTTATCTTGGAAAGATCTATCCAAATATTTATGAAATATGAAATATTCCATTTAAAAATGTCAAAGTCGCTCATTTTTTCATTGTGGAAGTCTCATATTTTATTGCACATTCAGATGCAAATTTCCAAAGAATTTAGACTGATACAACGTACAATGAGGTTTTGATTATTAGTTGTTAAGTTATAGGCGATTCCATATATAAAAAACGCTGAACGTTGACAGCTTCCCAATCCGCCATTTTGAAAGATAGTGATATAATATTGCGTTCAAATCATCAGAAACAAAAACAAAAAGATCAAGTCAAGTTTGGGGTGATAGTGATATAATATTGCGTTCAAAATCATCAGAAACAAAAACAAAAAGATCAAGTCAAGTTTGGGGTAATTATAGATTTTTAGTTCATAATACTGGTATTATTAGTCAGGCCTCTCAAAATGTAGTGATACCTTCTTTCGAAGTTATTGAAGGACAAATGATTAAATAAGTTTTTTGACTGTTATTCTATCGTAACAGGGCCGATTAATGAAAACCATAAATATTTTTCTGTTTGTAATTAAGGGCAAAGATTACCCGACGAACGCCACAAAAAATGTACCTTCTATGGTATCTGAAAATTATTCTCCCTTTTGATTTTTTTTTGCCTTTTATAGTACTTCCTGGCCTATAGACTTGACTGAAAAAATGAGCACCCTGTTTTGAGAGATATGTATGCCCAAACAATAGGTATATAAAATTTAAAGTGTAGCAAACATCTGTCATTAGATTATCTCGAGTGTTGCTTTCAAGTATTGGAAACAACTTGCTTGAGTGTTTTAAGAAAGTAATCCTAGTAGTTTTCCATATCGATATGAATTATCAAATTATCATGGAATGGATAAAACATTGAAATGCAAATAGAAAGAAAAATATCAAGCACAGTTAAGTTAATATGATTTGTGGAACTTCTAACAATATTTTTTTCAATGCCCCCCTGCTATTATTTTCATTTGTTAATACACCGTTGCAAAACTTCATTTGTTTGTTTGTTTAAGATTTATTTAGCATGATTGCTACTATTACATTCTTCTAAAAAACTAACATAACATACACATATTTAGAAAAAAATGCATCTCTATGAATTTTTATTTTCCATGAAATATTAATTTAATTGACTTTTAAATATATTTCAATTACAAGTAGACTTTATATCATTATTTAGTTTATTAAATTCAAGTAATCCTTTGTGAAATATTGATTTGCTAGTTAAATTACTATTACAATTTTGTAAATGAAAATCTATATTTCCTCTTGTATAATAATTGTGATCAATTCTATGTAGTGTTCTAAATGTTCTGGCAAAAGATGATTTTTTATTTTAAATATAAAAATAAACCAAATATGATATGCAATTTTTTATATTCATCTACTCCAATTCTTATAACATAGATTTTATTTTGGTGTACTTATTTTTATTCAATATTACTATCATAGCTTTATTTTGCAAAACTTGTCATTTTGAGAATACAGCTTCATTTGCAGTGAACAAGATAGTTGAACAATATCGTAAATGCGGTAGTGAGACTATGAGAAGCCCTATAAAAGTAATTTGTTTTTTGACAATTTTTGAAATAATGTATTCGAAGTGATCCTTAAACTTTAGTTTACTATCAATATATATCCCTAAACATTCAATTGATTCAACATTTTCAATTATGTCTCCATTTATCCTAACTGTGATAGTATTTTCATAAACTATTTTTTTGGAATATATACTAAAACCATTTTTTGCAATCTAAAGTCTCCATTGTGATCCTCAAACTTCAGTGTACTATCAAAATACATATAAACCCAAATATGTATTTAATGCATTCAACTTTTTTAGTTATTGTAAATCGTCCTAACTGTAATATTATTTTCATTTACGTATGTCCCTATTAGCATACATTTTGTTTTAGAAGTATTCAATTTTAGTTTATTTACATTTAACCAATTTGCGATTTTTGCCAAGTCAGAATTTAGCATTTTTAAAGCAGTGTCTGTATTTTCATTTGATATGTACATTAATGTATCATGTGCAAATATCTGAAGTTTACAATAATCTAAATATTACAAATGCCATTAACGTATAAAATAAATAGTAGTGGACCTAGTTTACTACCTGGTGGTATACCATCAGAAATATCGTTTGATCTTGATAATGTTATTCCAATTCTGGTTTTTGACTTCTGTCAGTTAAATAGTTTTGTAGAATTTTAAATACAGGTCCTTTAAATCCGTAGCGATGCAATTTTGTAAGTAATTTATCTCTGTCAATAGTCTCAAATGCCCTTCTGAAGTCCAAAAACGCTGTTACTGTATGTTTCCTATTGTCCATGCATCTCTTCCAGTCGTCTAAAGCCATTTGTGTTGCCGTTTCAGTTGAGTGTTTCTTCCTGAATCCAGCTTGAACTTTGGTTAACATGTTATTTCCCTCAATAAATTCGATGATCTGTTCGTAAATAATTTCTTCAAAAACTTTTTCATCATCTGGTAGAACATTTATGGCCGCATATTGGTGTACAACTCAGAATTTTTAAATTTAGAAACAGGAGTAATGGTAGAACACTTCAGTTTTGTTGGAAATTCGCCATATTTTAAACAGTAATTTATCAGGATTAATATTCGTG